ATGAGAATACCCTTTCGAAGAAGAGGCAACGTTGGAGAAACACTTTACCAGTGATCAACCTTGAAATTTGGCAGATTGGATCTCTTGTAATGAGAACAATTACAACACCAGATACTAAATAATATCAGAATATGGAAGAGCTGCATAAGACAAACTAACAAACTACTTAGCTCCTTCTTTACGACTTTTTCTTCCTCTCTTGGTACAATCATTAGCAGGCATATTTTTATAACTGACATCACTACAATCCTAAATGTTAGTTAATTTATTAGACAAGATATTGATGTATTATGGAAGCATAAGCAATTCCTACTCTTATTCTCTGGAATTAACATTTTCGAGCCACATGTGCCTAAGATTCTATTCTATTAGAATGCTCATGTTTTCCACATTTGACAAGAAGGAAAAATTGTTCGATTTTTCCAAGTTGCAAAAGAAAACAAGGAGAATGAGAAGATAAGCAATAAACAAGAGAAAAACACATTTAGGAGAAGAAAACTGTCTATTCCATCAGATCTGAAACAACTCTTCCACAGTGGTCTCCTAACTCATTAGCAAGGCATGAACATTACATAAATCTCAAAAAATTACAAGATATAATTCATCCCATTGATACGCAGGAAGAATAAAAGTTTATTCCTATAGGTCTTCCCTAGCAGATAAGTGTAAATGTTCAAGTTCTTACTCATGTTGAGTGCTGGGGCTGCTAGACCACAACGAAGCTTAACCCAAAAGCATGGGAGATAACCACAATAGAATAACCCAAATATGGTACTACTAAGCTGAGCAAAACGAGGATTTCCTCTCTGTACAAGCAAGGCCATAGCAACAACAAAAGCGGCAGATGTAACTGAAACGTCAATGTGACCAAAGTACCTGATCATAAATTAGAAAAATTAGTAAGCAACCAGTAGGATTGTTAGTTACGTATTTGGAAAACATGGTCCATGATCAATGCCTTCCAATGAAATATGAATATATTAATCACATGCAGAATACAAAGTTTAAGACATTCTAATGAAATGAACAATGGGCATGTGGTTCTCTCGAAATCTCTAATGAATAAGTTCTTTGTGTGCATAAAAGGTCCAACAACTTCATGCTTTTACACATCAAGATCCATCACTATCCTAGATCTTGACTTCAACATTCAGAGGCTGGATAACATGTCTGATTCCTGCCTCTGACAAAATACAAGGAACAGAATTTCGAAATAACAATTTTTAAGGTATACAGAGTATCAGATACATGTGAAAATTTGCATGTAATATAGAATGGGGTTTTAAAACAAATATTAATCTCTGTACAATCTCAATTTGGAAAAAGAAAAATATTCTAGTAACCATATCTACAAAAACAGTGAATTCCTATGAAACTGTTCTGGAGACCAATTACCAGCCTTCAATCATCTGTAAGGGAGTTCACATGCAACCAACATATGGCTAAAATTCACTGTTCTCTCAGCTTCAAGATGTGAAAAGGCAGATCTTACTGAATCTTTGGCTGATTTTCAATACTAGCCCTTAGGTTTGCTACTTAGGAGAAAAACACAAGGTGCATCACATTCGGACTTTAAGGATAAGTTAAGACATTACTTTATATTCCAGATGGTTAGATTCAAGTAGTTTCTACAAGCATATAATTAATTAGATTTGCAGATCCAGAAAACAAGCTTCAAAGCTTAGAGAAACTATTATATGATATAAATGCAGATCCAAGACGAAAATCCAAAGCTTAGAGAAATGTATTAACCGTATAAATAATACTCAGTTATTTCTAATCGAAAATTTTGTTACTTTCTTACTCCACCTCCCTAACAGGTATTTTCAGACATTTCTTTCCCCCATTTCGATGGTAGGAAATGGGACAATAGAGTTCATGCAAGACAAGAACTCCCAACCCTCACATTCCACCTGATTGGTGTGATGATTGAAGGAAACATTCACACCCAAAGGACACTGGTACTACATTGATTATTTCATTTTAGATTTTCGAGTATCAATATTAGGGGCATTTCATAGATCTTACAAGGTAAGTAGGGGCATCAGAGCACAGATAACCGAGCAAACTCGAGATACATATCGAGGAGGAGCGTCATTCCTGCAGTGATTCCACGACTCCTAACCAACTCAAAATACTCACGTGAACCGACAAAACAGCAGCTG